CTGTCTGTCTGTCTGTCTGTCTGTCTATCTATCTATCTATCTATCTATCTATCTGGTTGTGTTCTCTCCCTTTCATCCTCACACTCTTCATTCTTTCTCTCTATTACTTTTTTATTTTCCATGTTTTATTTACCTGTATTTCCACATGTGCACAAACCTCCCATGTGTAATCATGATCTTATTTTGAGCGTCTGTCTTTTTTTTTCTTTTTTTTTCTCTCACCACCTCTTCCTCCTCCTCCTCTCTCCATCCCTGCACCCCCTGTGTTTTTCCTCAGAGCTCCACTCCTTCGTCTGAGTGCCCTATTCTCTCCATACCCTTCATAGGAATGGTTGTAATAATGGGCCTGATATGGTGCTGCTGCAAGGAGCTCTTGTCCTAAAGGGGGAAAGGTATGGCTTTGCCTTTTCTTTCTCTAAGAGTCCAGAGACGAGCATTTTGTCCCTCCTGTATTGTGAAACTCTTCTTTATCCTGGTCAAAATGTCACTTTTTATAAGCCATAATGAATGGTCATAACTGTCATGCTAAACAAGCCTGTTTGCCCATTGGACACAGTGCCTGATTCCTTACGAGGGCCTTTTATGGATGTGCACATTGTTTCACAAACATAGTTTTCCAGTTAACTACTCTGAAAAACCATATAGTTGCATTTATTCCTGTCTTTTCAGAGGTTTAAAACCTCCCTAAACAAAACAGAAACCCTCATTCAGGATGGAGTACGTTAAAAATGGGTCAATTCTTTGAGTAAACGTAGTCCTGTTTACAGAAAAAGCATAAAGAACATCCCGTTCCCAAAGGGAGTTGACTTGTTTTTAGAACATTGCCAAATTAGATTGTGCTTTTGTAGTTTGGACAGAAGAATTTCTGCATCATAGACATTTCTTATGTTCTTCAGTCAGGAAGTTTGGCACCATGAAAAATCAAGTCATATTCAGACATCCTCTGAGATTTCCGAATGTTATTATCCCAGCCAAATGCATGACACAACTCTGATTTCAACAGTTCTGCTGCCCAGCGGGGCCGACTGAAGCCACACGCACACAGACTTACACAGTTCTTTGATTCTGCTGGACAGTTATGTGGTTTCCACTGCCAATCTCACAACACCAGATGGAGAGAGAGTAATAGAGTATGTAAAAGAGAATGTGTGCGACAGTGATTGGTGTATTTACTGGGTCATTGCTCTTGGCTTTGTATCTCTCCACATTTCTGGATGGGTATATTTAGCTCTCAAGTCCAGCGCTATTACAGAAGATGACTGGAAATAAACAACAAGTCCTCAGAAGGTTCATTAAAACCACATCAGCTCTGTAGCCTCATTCACTGTCTTCTAGCCAGAGAAAAATTGTGAAACTCTGGGGCCAGTTGCATAAACTTAGCCACCATGTTAAGACTGTGTCTTAAGAACTAGTTTGACCAACTAGCAGTTGCCAAGGGGTAATCAGTCTTACTTTTCCAATACAAATAAGAACAATCTACCTTTTCATAACTGAATTAAAAAAGCTATGACCAGTCTTGAAGAAAACAAATTAGGTGACTAACTTTTTAAGACTAGTCTAAACAGTTTATGCAACCGGCCCCTGTTTGTGTTTCAGTTTCATTGAAATTTGTGAGTTTGTACCGGTTTCAGTTTGGTGAATGCCAAGATGAAATATGAACATCAAAACCTCTTTGTTAAAAAAAGTACATGGATTTTAAAGTACATGGATTTTTCTATCTATCTATCTATCTATCTATCTATCTATCTATCTATCTATCTGTCTAATACAAAATTATTCATTAAAAAAGTTCAGAGGTACAATCAAAATTTTATATCATTAAAATATAAAAATTAAAAAATATGACTAATATGAGTAATATTATCAATTATAAAGGAGAAAAATACAAGAGCAAAAATATCAGCAATTTTATGACTTCTCTTGACCTTATATACTGTATATCTCAGAGGTAAAAATTTTAATAATAAATCAATAAAATTTCAAAATATCAACAGTAAAATATATATGGCTAGTGTAATTGACCAATATATGGCTAATATAATTAATATTAATGTATACAATTTTGGATTTTTTTAATAATATAATTTTGATTTTAATTTTGTCTTTATATATATATATCAAAAAGTAAATGTATATGGCCAATAACTGTTAAACAGCTAGTATCAAAGTTCTGTCCTATAATTAGAATATTAACAAAGAATAAATAAGAGTAAAAATATAAAAAATGTAAATATTGCTTCTCTTGACCTTTGCCCTCTGATGTCATTCTCTTCCTCTCATTGACCTCAGGAGAGTGAGGGAGACTGGAACCTGGTGTTGGTTGTTGCGGTGGCAGCAGCAGCAGTTCTTCTCATTCCCAGTTTCACCAGAGCTCTGGCCTGAGTGCTGGACAGGAAGTGACCTCATCATCCCACTCTGCCCATGGTACACAATTCTATCACCCCGACCACACTTATCCACCAATGGGAACTGAAAACCATCACTCACCTGGGACATACGGGAACACTATAACACATCGCTTCCAAACTTGCCGCTTTTTGGTGTGCATTGTGATGCTGGTTGTTTGCCGTTTCAACTGCTTTGCTCTGCTTTTGTAGACAATCATATCCGTTTCGACCAGCAGTGCTACAGACACTGGCGCCATGCTGTGGGTATTTAAATGGTCAGAATGGAGGACGACTCCAAGAGCTTCTGATTGGTCTGACTCCCGCTTTCCATTTCATCAGTTGTTTTTTCTTTCCCAAAACTTTGCCTTATCACTTTACAATAGAACATTTGCACATTTTACCTCTGTAAACAGATTCCTGATCTATCTGTCTAATACAAAATTATTCATTAAAAAAGTTCAGAGGTACAATCAAAATTTTATATCATTAAAATATAAAAATTAAAAAATATGACTAATATGAGTAATATTATCAATTATAAAGGAGAAAAATACAAGAGCAAAAATATCAACAATTTTATGACTTCTCTTGACCTTATATACTGTATATCTCAGAGGTAAAAATTTTAATAATAAATCAATAAAATTTCAAAATATCAACAGTAAAATATATATGGCTAGTGTAATTGACCAATATATGGCTAATATAATTAATATTAATGTATACAATTTTGGATTTTTTTAATAATATAATTTTGATTTTAATTTTGTCTTTATATATATATAT